TGTTCAACTCTAGGTGTGCTCCTGTTGGGTCTCTCTCTACAAGGCAGTGAAAGTCTTACAAGGCAGTGAAAGTCTGTAAATACTGTCTGAAAGAGACAGAGAGAGAAAGAGACAGAGACAAAGAGAGAATCCATCTTTCCCTTGAACCTGCTTTCCACTTCAGTGGCCTTTCTCTCCTTTCCTTTAATACTAGATTTTTTCAAAGCCTCAACTGTATTTTTATTTACTTCAGGCAAGTCTTTATTGTGGCCCCTGCTACAGCAGGAGGGAGCAAGAACAAGTAATAGTTTCCCTTGTCAAAGCCTCAAATTTAAAAATGTTTCACATTTACTTCTCAACTCACAACAGTTTGTCTTCCCTTGACTGACTGACTCCAAAGCTCAGGCAAGAGCTTTCCAAGCAACCAGGCTGCCTCGTGTGGTCTGGCCACTCTCGAAACCATCCTCACATTAAATTGCCAATGACTTGTTGATTGAAAATTTCTAAAGTTTCTTTCTTGTTCTCCTCTCCATTCTTTTGGAAGCTTCTGTCCCTTTTGAATGCCTCTCCCATGTTGAAATGTTTTCCCCAGTACCCCCATTTCTGAAGCTTGCTTCTTCTCCAGAATTCTTTCTTTCTCCTGCTCCTGCAATCCCTAACATTCCTCTTCCTCCCTTCTCTGGGGAACTCCCGGGATGAGTACATTGCCTCCTCAGCACCCATATGCTGGTGGCTCTCCAGCCTGCCTCTCTACTCAGCAGGCTGCTGGAGAGCCCGGGGGTAGGGAAAGTAGCTCCTCAGAGCCAATATGTTGAGGCCCAATCTCACTTTACTTCAGCTGTTCATTCATTCAGTAACATTTATTGGGTGCCCACTATCCATTGGACATTGTGGAAGGCTTTAGAGACTCAGCAGGCTTCCTTTGTGGCTCAGCTGGTAAAGAATCTGCCTGCAATGCAGGAGACATGGGTTTGATCCCTGGGTTGGGAAGATCCCCTAGAGCAGGGAAAGGCTACCCACTCCAGTATTCTGGCCTGGAGAATTCGATGGACTGTACAGTCCATGGGGTCGCAAAGAGTTGGACACGACTGAGCAATTTTCACTTTCACTTTTTAGAGACTCAGTAATAAAGAGCCCAGTTCTTACCCTCAAGGAGCTTATAGCTAACAACAGACAAGGCATGTGTGCTAATGTTCTTATTACAGTATTAAATATCACTAATCAAATGAATGAATGCATGCTTAAGAGACTTCTAATATCATGGGATATTGGCCAAACTGCCTGGACTCTAATGTCAGCTCAATCAGTTTCTAATGGTGAGATCTTAGCCAAGTTATTCTCACTGTATCTTTGCTTCCTCGTCGGTCAAATGCAGGTAATAAGAGTTCCTTCTTTAGAGGGTTGCAGTATAAATAAGTCCATGTTTGTGGTGTGCTTAGAGGGCATTATGGCATACAGTAATGCTGACAGGGTTTCCATTTGTATTATTACTGGGCCTTGAGAGTTATGTCACCATGCATAAGTTTGCCAAGACCAGATGGAGGAGGGGCGTAAAAGGGATCTAAGTTTTTTTCTTTCTTTTTTTTTTCAGGAGGAGGTAATACCTAAGCAGGATCTGAAAACCTGAGCTAGACAAAGAAGACAAGAAGATGGAAAATGGTCATTCAGACAAAGAAAACAAAGAGTATAGAGTGCCAATAACATGGGTGATTGGGAGACAGGCATTCCAGGAATTTTAAAGAGAAATGAAAGGATAACAACAAATGAAGCAGGGGAGGAAAACTGAAGCCAGGCTGTCAAGAATTCTTCTTGTACAGGAGCAGGGATTTTCCTTAATGATAAACTATTGCCTCCAATTGAGATACTGAAGGGTTTGAAGCAGAGTAATGATAGAATCCTATTTCCATATTAGCACCTCTGTACTGAGTACAGAGAAAGTGGGAGCAGGGAAAGTAGGGAGGAGGCTAGTACACAATTCCCCAAGGAGGGGATAGGCCCTGATCTAATGGGAAGCAGGAGAGAGAGGGAATCTTCTAATACACTGTCAGTATGTTTTCTGAGTCTTTCATGTTTTGAAAAAATATGCTTGTGAAAGTGAAGGTGTTAGTCGCTCAGTCGCGTGTAACCCTTTGTGACTTCATGGACTATAGCCCATCAGGCTCCTCTGTCCATGGATTTCTCCAGGCAAGAATTCCAGGCAAGAGTGGATTGCCATGCCCTTCTCCAGAGGATCTTCCCAGCCCAGGGATTGACCCTGGGTCTTCAACATAGAAGGCAGATTCTTTACTGTCTGAGTCACCAGGTACAAACTATTATATATAGGATGGCTAACAATAAGGTCCTTCTGTACAGCACAGGGAAATATATTCAATATCCTGGGATAAACCATAGTGGAAAAGAATATAAGAAAAGCCGTATATATATATGTGTAACTGAATCACTTTGCCGTATAGCAGAAATTAATACAACATGGTAAATCAGTTGTAAATCAACTCTACTTCAATAAAAAAATAGTTAATATGCTTAGCCAGTAATCATCTGGTAATAGCTATACTCATGCTCCACAAAGCAAAATTTGCTTTGTTTAAATTCCTTAATTTAACTGAAATAAAAAAAAAACTACCAAGTATGTTGGGATTGAAAGATACTGTCCTGTGGTATACAGAGACTGTCATTTTACCCTCTTTAATACTTGGCTATTCCCCACCAATGCATAGGAAATTATTACATGTTAAATTTACGTTATTTTATTTGAGGATATAATTAATGTTTCAATCAGAAGTAGATAGGGGCAAAATAAATATATGCTTTATAGCACCAATTATTTCCCTTATTATTCCTGACAGCAGGAAGCCATCATTCTTGTTAGTATTCTTTTCACCGTATCTTGGATGGATTGATATGATTTCAATTGATTAGGTGCTGTTGAAAAGCTCAGTGTTTTCCTCTGGTCCTGGGATGAAAGGCATTTTTTAATAATATACCCATCTACCATCATGTAAATTATGGTCAGGCATAACACTACTATATAAGGCACTTTTTTCCTGACTGGTTAAGAATTTTTTCCCACTGATTTTTCTTGTTTTTTTTTTTTTTTTCATTTCAAATGAATCCAATCCCAACAATTAATGTACAACAGAAGAGGCTCAAAAATCCAAGGCTTAAAGTAAATCAGTTTTTAGGCAATGATAAATGTTAATAAAATTAGACCTATCTCTCCTGACTCTATGCAATTTTCTGGACAGAAAGCTGCATAGAAACAGGAGAAGATACATATAATATATATGGTGTTCTATATTTTCAGTAATGTGAATACTTTTATAGTCTGAAAAAAGATTTATAGTGTGATAGATTTCTTCAGCCTACTACAAAGGTTATCACACTTCCATTCTCAAAAGTCACAGAATACAAATATGTTCAAACAACCTAAGAACACTGATAATATATCTGCAGCTAGAATTAGAGTTAAATTTTCTAATTTGAGTTATTATATAAACAATCAGAAGTTTTCCAGTAATAGTTATCAAGTATCACATTACTTAGATAAAGCTATATTGGTGATATATATATTGCTACAAATAATAAATAGCACTTTCTTAAGCCTTTCAAAAGCCCACATAATTTTCTTCATTTCGCTCTTAAACCCATTAGAGTCTCTTCAGCAGAGAGATAATTAGTAGAAATTTCATTTAAATTCACTACTGTAATTAGGTTAACAAGTTTCCCCCAAATATCACTCTGTAAACAAAAATTGACAATACGTCCATGATGATGGTGAAATTGGGATGATATATACAAAGACTAGCTTCAAATATATTAATTGTCAGGATGCTTAAATTAAGGAATATATGTATGGCTGAGGAAAAACTTGTATTCAACCTATCAACATTTTTGGAAAGGCTCATATGCTAAGCACTGTGCCAGTTTCTAGGACAGCAAAGAGCACTAAGGCATGGTTCCTATACTCAAGAAACTCAGTCTCTCAAGGATGATATCCATCACTTTTCAGAGGAAAATTCTATGTTAAGTAGTAAATACAACAATGAATACAGAAGCAAAGTTGGGTAGAAGCTCAAGAGGTAGAGGGAATAAACTTCTGTGGGGGCACAGACCTTGGTATTTACCTTTTCACTGCGTGCACATGCGTACATTTACATATGTGCCTCTATAAGACTTTGGTGTAAGTCTTTTGTGAGAGTCTGGATGCGTATGAGGCAGTCACAAAGCTTAATGTGACTACTTCTCGTACACCTAATGTACCTAAAATGATGCTGCATCTGAAATTAATAGTGCACATGGTTGAAACAAGTATATGGATGCCATACAATGCTCATCTATAACATAATCAAATATTAAAAGCAATAAACATTTTGACAAAGTTAATAAGAAATTTAAGTAGTAAATTAAGCAGGTTGGTGCTGCTACTGCTAAGTTGCTTCAGTCGTGTCCAACTCTGTGCAACCCCACAGACAGTAGCCCACCAGGCTCCTCCATCCCCAGGATTCTCCAGGCAAGAACACTGGAGTGGGTTGCCATTTCCTTCTCCAATGCATGAAAGTGAAAAGTGAAAGTGAAGTCGCTCAGTTGTGTCCGACTCTTCACAGCCCCAGGGACTATAGCCTACCAGGCTCCTCCGTCCGTGGGATTTTCCAGGCAAGAGTACTGGAGTGGGTTGCCATTTCCTTCTCCAAAATTAAGTAGGTATGTTTCTGTAAAATTCTAAAATTACTAAGATTCATATTTCCAAGACAAATAAATATAATTCATTAAGAAAAAAAAAACTATGAGAAGAAGATAAATTTCCTGTTGGTTTATTGTGCTCACACTTAGTATCTTCAGAAGTCTACAGATCTTTATTAGTAAGTAGCAACAAGATAATTATTAGATATATTAAGGGGTCAATAACTCCATTTTCAAAGCATATGATCAAGTAATAGCCATGAAATGCTTACTCAGTACATAGGACCTACCATGAATAATTTTGACACAACCAATATGAAGTAGTCAAAGATAATTCTTACCTCCTTGTTCACACAATTGCTGGGCTAAAGCATCTTTGAAGATAATCTGGCCCCTGTGTGTTGCTGTAGCCCTGGAAATGAATAGGAAAAGGTTAACAGAAACCTTGTAATAAGTCTGGTGATAACAATATATTTTTAAACTTTTTAAAACCTTATTTTGAAATGTTACATGGACATGATCTTTTTAAAAATGAGTGCATCTAAACAGAGACGAAAATGAACAATAGAGTCAAGGCATAAACCAAGGCACCTTGGTTGAGAATTATCTTCTGGTTGGTTTTACTTTGTAAAGATGCTCTAACATTTGTGGGCTTATTCTGAAAACTGCAGATGTGAGCAAATCTTGGGTAGGAAGAAAAGCACAGAAAGGATGTTTATTAAAGCTATTCTTCAGGAGACCTTGATATAAAATGTTTTGTAGTACAATAATGATATTAGCACTGGAGGAAGATGCCCATAATGCACTTTTTTCCGATATCAATAGTTACCATAACACAGAGATTTGAGACCAAGAAATACATTCTTAAGGTTCTTTTTTTTTTTTTTTAAAGAAGCCTATTCTGAGCTTTCATAATACAAAGTCTGTTATAATAAAATACACTTTTCCCCCCACTGGGTGTAATTTACCATTTGCAGAAGATGTGCATCTTTTACCTCCTCTAATCAGAGCTGTGCACATGGATTCATGAAAAAAATAACATCCTTGTAGCAGATTTGTTATTCAGTAGCTGTAATAGGAACTGTCTTATTAGAGGAAGAATTATTTATGCTTTATATTTGAAGTGTTTTTTCTTAAACAAGATTTTTTTTCCTTTGGTACACAATCTATTATCTAAACAAATTTAAAACAGGAAATTACGCCTCTTCCTAAGAAATTTGATTTCAGAAAATAATCTATACAAAATCTTTTTAATAACTAAAACACATTAACATTAAATCTCAACTTTAGTCCTAGCCAAAACCAGTCTAGGACAAAAACAATTTGATCCAGCAGTCATTTACTAAAGATGGATTATGTACAAGGCACTGGACTAGGTCACAAAACGCAGTATTTGGCCTCCACATTTCCCCCCATATGTGCATCCCTCAATCGACATCTTGCCCTTTGTCCAGCCCACTAGGGCTAATGGTTCCCAACACCCCCATTCTGGCCTCCAGGTGGATGCATGTTCCTCCTCCATGCTGCAGACCTTACTGATTTCTATCCCCCATTGGACTGTTACTATTGCTAGTGTCAGTCCCCCAGGACCCAAGTCTCTGGAAGTAATCTGAAAAACTAAGCCATGCAGAAGTGTTAATGGGTGATACTGCTCCAAGCTAACATATTTCAGCTGTGACACTGAAAATATTATACTTTAACACACACAAACAATGACACAGTAGTGGGAGTTTTGAATAGTGGGAGAGAGATATAACTGGAGAGAAAAATCACTGGGCAACCTTCAGCTCCCATCCTATGTGATGTTTGTAAGGGTAGTCAGTCCTTGTTACTGAATATTAATCATTACTGAAACCACAGATAAACAGATATGCCACTCTCCCTATATAGTTACATATATTTATATGGTTTTCATTGATTTTAGCAAGCTGAAAATGAGATGGACTAAACCAAGGACCAATCCAAGCCACAGACCCATGAATTAATTACAAGCTTTATTTCCAAAGAGAACACAGAAACTTCATTTACCTAAACAAATCTCAATCAAATCAAGAGCTTCCAAGTTCACATATACTTCTGATATCAAAACAGCAATTATAAATGTAGACTTTTAATTGACGTTTACTTTGGAAGGGATATATTTTCTGAAATCACTAAGCACCAAGAAAAGTCCTGCAACATACAGTATTTAAATAATCATTCATTTAGTTGTCTTCGGATTATAAGTATATAATATTCCTATGGTAATATTTCTCATTGGTCCACAAACTTAGTTATCATTGTGCCAGTTTACGCACCCATGAACGTGAAGAAGCCAAAGTATTCAAATAAAATTCATGTCACAGAGGTTCTGCCTTTTCACTGGAAATCAGAGATACTGATATATACATTGGTCACTGAACAGCACCCTGTAAATAGTCCGGATCACTTCTTCTACTTATTAGTTTCCTCAGATTTAGAATTTCATTCATGCTCTTACCTTTGCTACTGGGGTTCAATGAATGAAGTTCTAAGAACTATAGAACAATTAAAACTGAATAAGTTTTTAGCATCTAGTCAAAATTTCTTTAGCAGTGGTACTCATTCTTCAAACAAATATTACAGAACTATATATGAACAGGGGAGCCCCAGCTTTTGAAGTTGTTGGGTTCCCTCTCTTCAGCTAGCATGCTCCCTAGGGCCCAGTCTCCAAAAGTTCCTGGTGTTCTTCCCTGGAATACTTGGGGATTTGAAGTAGAAAAGTTTGAAAAGCACTGAACTAGTCTGACTCTTGACAAGAAACAGATGCCCAGGGCGCACCTGCTGAGGGTCACAGAGCCTGATAACAGCAGGTGGAACCTGATCTCAGGTCTTGACTCCAAGCCTTGGATTCTTCTCACTGCATCAGTGGTTTTCAAAATGTGCTCCATAGTGTGCCCAGGGGTCTCCAAGGGGGTCCAAGGGATGGGCAGCAGGAAATGCTTCAGTTACCATTAATTCATCTAGAGCATCTGGTTCTAATATATGTTCTAAGTACTTAATGCTATTTGAAGAAAGGGCTCAGCAGTTTCAAACTGGATTGACGAGCACACTATGTGCTCAGTGTCATTATCAGAAGCCCTCTGCTTGGGAGAAATAAAAGTAATAATAATAATAATGTGACTGATATAGGTATGTATAAGGCATACATATACATATACATATATCATGCATATATATAATTCATGCACATATATATGTAAGGGCTCTATATCTGTTGTAAGGGCTCTATGTAAATTAAGTCAATTAATGTCGACAACAATGCTAATAGGTAGGTACTATTACCCTCATTTTCCTGGGACACAGAACTATTGTTTCAGCTGCTTAATGTCTTGTAACTGGTACTAGGTCAGTATTCAAACTCGGGCAGTCTGAATGTCAAGATCTCATTTTATGTTGTTCAGTCACTCAGTTTTGTCCAATTCTTTGCGACCCTATGGATGCAGCACACCAGGCTTCCCTGTCCTTCACCAACTCCTGGAGCTTGCTCAAACTCATGTCTATCAAGTTGGTGATGCCATCCAACCATCTCATCCTCTGTCATCCCCTTCTCCTCCTGCCTTCAATCTTTCCCAGCATCAGGATCTTTTCCAGTGANGTTTTGTCCAATTCTTTGCGACCCTATGGATGCAGCACACCAGGCTTCCCTGTCCTTCACCAACTCCTGGAGCTTGCTCAAACTCATGTCTATCAAGTTGGTGATGCCATCCAACCATCTCATCCTCTGTCATCCCCTTCTCCTCCTGCCTTCAATCTTTCCCAGCATCAGGATCTTTTCCAGTGAGTAAGTTCTCATCAGGTGGCCAAAACATTGGAACTTCAGTTTCAGCATCAGTCCTTCCAATGAATATTCAGGACTAATTTCCTTTAGGATTGACTGGTTTGATTTCCTTGCAGTCCAAGGGACTCTCAAGAGCCTTCTCCAACACCACAGTTCAAAAGCATCAATTCTTTGGCGCTCAGCTTTCTTTATGGTCCAACTCTCACATCCATCCATGACTACTGGAAAAACCATAGCTGTGACTATACAGACCTGGTCGGCAAAGTAATCTCTCTGCTTTTTAATACACTGTAGATAGTGACTGCAGCCATGAAGTTAAAAGATGCTTACTCCTTGAAAGAAAAGCTATGACAAATCTAGACAACATATTAAAAAGCAAAGACATTACTTTTTTCAACAAAAGTCCATCTAGTCAATGCTATGGTTTTTCCAATAGTCATGGATGGATGTGAGAGTTAGACCATAAAGAAAGCTTACCACTGAAGAATTGATACTTTCAAACTGTGGTGTTGGAGAAGACTCTTGAGAGTCCCTTGGACTGCAAGGAAATCAAATCAGTCAATCCTAAAGGAAATCAGTCCTGAATATTCATTGGAAGGACTGATGTTGAAGCTGAAGTTCCAATACTTTGGCCACCTGATGCAAAGAACTGACTCACTGGGAAAAGACCATGATTCTGGGAACGATTAAAGGCAGGAGAAGAAGGGGATGACAGAGGATAAGGTTGTTGGATGGCATCACCAACTTGATAGACATGAGCTTGAGCAAGCTCCGGGAGTTGGTGATGGACAGGGAAGCCTGACGTGCTGCAGTCCATGGGGCGTCAAAGAATCGGACATGACTGAGTGACTGAACTGACAGACAAGGTTTGTCATTAGCTTTTCTTCCAAGGAGCAAGGATATTTTAAATTCAGGGCTGCAGTCACCATATGCAGTGATTTTGGAGCCCAAGAAAATAAGGTATCTCACTTTATAACTATTACATTAAATTGTGATCGATCTGATTTAAACATTTGATGGCAGTTTTCCATCTTTTTTTTTTGGAGGAAACCCTGCTTTCTGGGCCTAATCTTTAAATCCATGCCTCCTAGAGACTGTGTTCTCTATTCCAACTTTTCAGTCCATTTCTCTTGATCACTTTTCTCACAGTGTTCTGAGTCCTTTGGCTTCTATTCAGCTCATTACAGTTCCCTTTGAGCTCTGCCCCATTTCCTCCATCCGCCCCCAGATCCCTTGCATCTCTTCTTTTTTCCTACCAAATACAAACAAGCCAGATGCCAAGCTTATTAACACCACTGTCCAAGTCCTATGATACAAGGACACAAACATATGCATTGACAGATAATCATCATGTACACCACTTCCTATACAAATCTTTAAAGCCTTCAGATCACATTTTAAAAATAGCCATCCTACAATAGGTGCCTGGTTAGGTGATTTTAAGGGCCTGCTACTTAGCACCTTTTCTTGGGAGGAAGAAAAAGCAGAAGCCCAGGTAACCACCAAGAACCCAAGTTTTATTGATTTTACACATGAATAGCCCCAGGTTGTGACTTTCCTCAATAAGGGCAAGCCTACTTTGAACACATTGAGTTAATGAAGTAATTCATGGT